CGAGGCCCAGGGGATGCCGGTCTGCAGGAATAGAGGCAGGGAGCCCCAGGGACAGGGAGGGGGGTGGGAATGGAGAAGCCACCGGCCCGCTGGCCCCATCTGTCTGGGCAGGAGCTGCTCACCGACCTCGCTGGGCCCCTCCCAGAGCACCCCCTCCCTGAACAGTCCTGGCTGGTCCCAGAGGCGCCTTCCCCTGAGCTGCCCCCAGCCCCCAGACTCCAGGATCACAGCATGGGGTGTTTCTTTTTCCTGTTTTTTTTTTTTAATAAATTAAAACTGTATCTCCCCACCCCTGCAGGTGGGTTTTTAATTTTCTGTGCCAGAATCACTCTGGGGGAGAGAAATCCTTCGGGGCAGAGTCTTTAATAACTTCTGCTGCCCAAGGAATCCACTGTAGGCCTGCAAGCTGATGGGGAAGGTTTGTGCAAGCCTGCCTGGGGGGGAAGGGGGGCTGACAGTGGGGGCAGGAAGGGAGTATCACAGGATGAAAAGGACACCAAACCGAGCTTTGCTGCAGTCCCAAGGCAATTCCCTCAGTCCTAGAGCTTTGCAACATCTTAAACATAGGTAGAGCCTGGGCCCCCAGGAGCTCCCTCCAGCTGCCTGGCTCGGATGTGGAGGGAGAAGATAGTCTGTCTCTGACATTGGCCTAACTCGGTTCTGGAACTTCCCAGGGCCTCAGTTTCCATATATATAAAACAAAAGGATCGTACACAATCGCGTTCCTAGCCTCTTTGAATTCCAACCCTCTATGACATGTTTTCTTGGGTCCTCACTGACTTTTTATAATTTTTTAATTTAAAATTTTTTTAAATTCATGAGAGACACACAGAGAGAGGCAGAGACTAGGTAGAGGGAGAAGCAGGTTCCCTGCAGGGAGCCCAATGTGGAAATGGATCCCAGGACCCCAGTATCATGGCCAGAACCAAAGGCAGACACTCAACCACTGAGTCACCCAGGTGCCCCTCTTTTTAATTTTTTTTTAAAATTTAAATTCAATTAATTAACATATAATGTATTATTGATTTCAGAGGTAGAGGTCAGTGATTCATTAGTCTTATATAACACCCAGAGCTCATTACATCACGTGCCCTCCTTAATGTCCATCACCCAGTTACCCCATCCCCCCCACCCCCCTCCCCTCCAGCAACCCTGTTTGTTTCATATGATTAAGAGTTTTATGGTTTGTCTCACTCTCTCATTTGGTCTTGTTTTATTTTTTCCTCTCTTCCTCTATGATTCTCTATTTTCTTTCTTTTTTTAAAAAGATTTTATTTAGGGATCCCTGGGTGGCGCAGCGGTTTGGCGCCTGCCTTTGGCCCAGGGCACGATCCTGGAGACCCGGGATTGAATCCCACATCGGGCTCCCAGTGCATGGAGCCTGCTTCTCCCTTTGCCTATGTCTCTACCTCTCTCTCTCTCTCCCTGTGTGTGACTATCATAAATAAGTAAAAATTAAAAAAAAAAGATTTTATTTATGTATTCGTGAGAGAGACACAAAGAGGCAGAGACATAGGCAGAGAGAGAAGCAGGCTTCCTGCGGGGACCCCAATGCGGGACTCGATCCTAGGACCCCAGGCATCACGACCTGAGCCAAAGGCAGACACTCAACCACTGTGTCCCTGTTTTCTTTTTTTAATTACACACATGAGTGGGATCACACGATAACTGTCTTTCTCTGATTGACTTACTTCACTTAGCATAATACCCCCTAGTTCCATCCACATCACTGCATATGGCAAGATTTCATTTTTTGATGGTTGAGTAATATTCCATTGTATATATATATACCACATCTTCTTTATCCATTCATCTGTCGATGGATATCTGGGCTCTTTCCATAGTTTGGCTATTGAGGGCATTGCTGCTATAAACACTGGGGTGCAGGTGCCCCTTCAGATCACTACATTTGTATATTTGGGGTAAATCCCCTGTAGTGTAGTTGCTGGGTCTCAGGGTAGCTCTATTTTCAACTTTTTGAGGAACCTTCCTACTGTTTTCCAGAGTGGCTGTACCAGCTTACGTTCCCACCAACTGTGTAAGAGGGTTCCCCTTTCTCCACATCCTTGCCAACATCTGTTGTTTCCTGAGTGGTTTAATTTTAGCCATTCTAACCAGTGTGAGGTGGTATTTCATTGTAGTTTTGATTTGCATTTCCCTGATGCCGAGTGATGTTGAGTACTTTTCCATGTGTCTTGGCCATTTGTATGTCTTCTTTGGAGAAATGTCTGTTTATGTCTCCTGCCCATTTCTTGACTGAATTATTTGTTCTTTGGGTGTTGAGTTTGATAAGTTCTTTATAGATTTTGGATCCTAGCCCCCTATCTGATAAGACATTTGCAAATATCTTCTCCCATTCTGTCGGTTGTCCTTTGGTTTTCTCTCCCCGACTTTTAAAATTCTTAGAATTGGTATCATTTCAACATTGGGAGATTTCACATGGAAATCTGGTGGCAGCAATATACAACTCCTATTCCTTCAGGGCAACATTGAAAGGGATCAACTGGCTGCCCCCCAAAGATAGGCAGAGCCGGAGACATAGTCACTTTGTCATAGTCTCTGCCTTCCTGACTCTTCTTGCCCCAGCCTGTCTCACTCTTTGGCTCCAAGGCAGGTAACTTTGCAATGCTTACCCTGGAGGTTAGTTGCTCTGGGCTTTCCCTCTGCCCTGGACAGTCACACTGTCTCTTAATGGCCCTGCAACATGCACTTGTTCCCCTATTTGATGACCGGGCAAAATTCACAGGCTTTGGGTTAGCCTACTTAGGCCCAAATCCCAGCTCTAGACAAGTCATTCAGTCTGAGCTCACTGTAAAATGGGTCTTTTTAAAAAAGATTTTATTTATTCATGAGAGACACACAGAGAGAGGCAAAGACATAGGCAGAGGGAGAAGCAGACTCCTGGCAAAGAGCCCAATGCGGGACTTGATCCCACACCCTGGGATCACGTCCTGAGCTGAAGGTAGATACTCAACCACAAGCCACCAGGCATCCCTGTAAAATGGGTCTTATGAGATTGTGCATTATGTACAGTAATCCTATGGACTAAGACAATGCATAGGAAGTTCTTAGCACGGTGCCTCGTATACAGCGAGCACTTGATCCACACACACTTTCAGCGACACCATGCACAGCCCTAGCTGGGGATGAGGCCACAGTGGGAATGCAGTTGATGCCCATCTAAGGAAGGAGGAAATAGAGAGAGTGGCTTCCAAATGGCCAGAAACTGAAGAAGATGCAGAGTATAGGTCGCAGGAGGCTCAGGCCTAGGGGACCCAAGAGAGGAAAGGCCTCTTCTCCAAAGTGAGGGTGGGATGTAGCTTGAAAGGCTGCACAAACCGCCGCCAGGGTCTTCGCATGTTACGCTGGTGCCACCTTCTGGCTGATATGGACCTCACACCCACCAGCTGCTCCTTCCAACCACAGGCCAGAGTGGCTACTACAGTAGGGTGATCTTCTTCACTTATTTTTAGAATTGGCTGGACCCTTAGAATTCTTAGGGCACCAGTCTTTCTTTACACATTAGGAGGGGAAATTTCCAGAACTAAAGAGTAACTTTCCCAAGGTCACATAGAAAATTTCTGGCTGAGCTCCATAGAACCCAGAACTTGCTACAGCTGCCAAGAACCCCTTCCTTTTGTCAGGGACGCTGAGATACAAAAAATTGTACCTTCTCATGCATGAGCTCTGCTGACTCTTAGGGGGAGCCCCTCCCAGAAAGACTCTGTGTGATAAGGAAAGAATCCAGGTAGTTTATTCGGAGATTGAACTCAAGCACCAGTGGGGGGCATGATGGTGGATTGGAGACAGGGGAGGGAAGGAAACCAGTGGCAGAGGGGCACCTGGGGCTTGATCCTGCTAGGAAACCTAGGAAAACCTACACTGCCCTTCAGATTTGTCCCTTCCAAGGGCAAGGAAGCTGGGGCATCTATCCTCCAGCTTTCATTTCTATTTGGTTGAGAGTATTCTGGGGGCATTAACTCTCCGGGGTATAGCTGACCCTCTGCATACCTGCACTAAGCATGCTTTAGAGACCAGGGAAAGCCCCCCAGGCAATGCATCCCAAGTGCTCCTAATAGGAAACTGTGGGAGGGCGGTAGTTCTCAAAGTGTGGTCCCTGGCCCACCAGCTTGAGCATCACCTAGGGAACTTGTTAGAAATGCAAATTACTGAGCTCCATCCCAGACCTACTCAATCAAACACTGGCCATGAGCCAATCTTTTAATAAGTCTGATAGGTGGTTCTGACCTCTGCTCAAGATTGAGAACCTCTGACCCAGGAGAACACAAAGAAGACTCAATACTCCCTATTAAAAAAAAAAAAGAAAAAAAATACCCCCTATTAGGGGTATGGGGTGTGGTCTCCATTTGCCAGATGAGGAAACTAAGCTCCTCAGAGATGAAAATGACACACCCAAGGTCACACATCACACAGACAATAGGTGTCTGAGGAGGGTCTTTTGCCTCTTTCCACCATACTGCCCTGCACCGAAGTAAGTGACACTAGGATTTGGACTCTAGGTAGAGGATAAGGGTACAGTCCTAAAGCCCCTCTTTCTCCACCCCGCAACCACCACTTTGTTCTGCTTTCTAAACCAAATGTCTCCACCTGGTTCATCCAAATGGTTCTTAAAGCTCTTCTGGGATGTCTGCCAAGCCAGGTGCCCTTCTCTTGGCTCTCAGCTGCCCCCAGTCTCCATCCAGGACAAGCCCTCTCCACCCTCACCTTCCAGCCAGCAGGACATAACGGGGGAATCCAAGGCAGCTTCTTGCTGGGGTAAAGGTTGAGATTCCCTGGGCTGAACCAACCTGGTCTCATCCTCACCATGAATTTTTGTCCAGGAGCTTTGTGTGGCTCTTCCCTCTCCTTGTCCTATAACCTCCCCTCCCCTCCCCTCCCCTCCCCTCCCCTCCCCTCCCCTCCTCTCCCTTCCCCTCTGCTCCCACTCCATCTGCTGCTCCTCCTGGCTAGGCTCCCCCTCAGTTGGCACAGCAGGAAAAGAGAACAGGATGGTTTATTTTTATCCTAAGATACTGCTGGGGGGAAGGGGGCACCATCTGACCAAGAAGCAGGCAGCTTCTGTAGCAGTTGGGAGGTCAGAAGGAAGTGGGAGGCCCAGGACCTCCCCAGGAAGGAGCTACAGATGTAGGCTCCAGAGAGCAGGAAAATCTGGAAGAAGCAGCATAGGACCGAGAGTGGTGAGCTTTGAGTGGCACCACTGAGAATTGCTGTGTGACCACAGGCAAGTCCCTTTACCTCTCTGGGCTCCCATTTTCACCTCTGTTAAAGAGGGATGTGGGCCCTGCCTGCCCTCAAGGCTGTTTTTTTTATGAACATGAATAAAATGAGGAGAGCGTTTTCCAAACACAATGCCAAATGTGAGCACACATGGAAACCGCCCCAGAAGGGCAGCAGCCTGGGGACGTTCTTATTATCCTCAGCAAGTGCCCTAATTCTGTGAGCCTGACAGCAAGTGAAACAGCTCATGTCACTCAGCATTTCCACCCCGACTTTCCTTTATACATGTTTGATGACTTTTTAATTATATAAGCATTAAATGGACTCACTTTCCTTTTGGGGGAAAAAAGTCAGACCTTCTTTTAACCCTTCCCCAATGCTTCTCCCCCAACCCAGATATTACAACTCTTGAAGCTGTGCGTTTCCTGTGTATCCTTCCAGAACACTTGTCATATCTACATATCCCTTAGTGTGTTATGTTTACACACATCATATTGTTTGGGGGCAGATGCTTTAAAAAAAATTTTTCCATACCCATCATTCTGCAACCTGCTTTTTTTTTTCACGACAGTGTTTCTGAGATCCTGTTGTATAAATATATTACAATTTTATTTAGCCAGTCCCCTGCTGCTGAACAGCTAAGTGGCCTCCAGTTGTCCACTGTCACAAACAATGCCACAATGGCTCTTCGTGTGTCTTCCTGGGCTCGTAGAAACCACCGTGATATACACCTCAGGGCCCTGAAATGCTGGGTTGGTGGATATTACTATCTGGCCCCCCAAAAGTTTCATCTCCATCTTTAAAAGCAAGTTGGGAGGTGGAATGGGCTCCAGGGGTGGGGTGGAAGGTTCTCTGTTTCTGCAGCACAGGGGTGCAGGCAGGGGAGCACCGCCCCTTCATGCCCCTCCAGCAGCTCCAGGCTCTCCAGCCACGCGCCCACTCTCCCACGCTGTCACACTCCTGGGCACACGCTGCCTCACACTCTCTCCTGCACGGAGATGCGGCTCTCTTTGCCGTCCTCCTGGGTGACCGGCTGGCACCCATGTAAGGTCTCTTGCACCGGAGCAATGGAGTGCGGGGGCATAGGAAATTCCTCCAAGTCCTCCACAGGGTCCTGACACATAACCTTAGGGCAGCCAAGGTGTGAGGTAGCCAACCCTCCCCCACCCCCCCAACACCTCTGAGTAGCCTTTCCCTTAGGAGACCCCTCCCCCAAACACAAGCCCCCTTCCCCTTTCCCAAAGGGAGGGTGGGTGCTGATTCAATGGGTGCCTCCTGCCCCCTGCTGGCCACACAGAGAGCATAGAGAAGCTTCCAGAGTGGAAGTCAGTGGATCCAAGGAGCTGCCCCTCCAGCCCCCACCCAGTGACCTGGCACCAACGCCCCCAGAGACATGGTTCCCCATGTATTAAATGCCAGGAAACATCAGATTTTGCCAACGGTGCCAGGGCTGCCCCATGGGGAGACTAACTCTGGAGATGAATGTAGGTTGGTGGTGCAAAGGGGTGAAGGGGAAAAGCCCTGCAGCCCAGCACTGGGAGTGAAAGTAGCTAATTCTGCTGCCTCCCCACTGGCCACAGGGGCAGATTCTGAATCAGTTGTACTGCTATAGAGGCAACAATGAGTCAGGCTTTCTTTCCAGTTTGCCAAAACCCTGAGCTGTTTCCCAGAGCTAACCTACCTTATTCTCTGGCTTCTTGACCACCTTTCCTAGAGAGACAGAGAGAGAGAGAGAGAGAGAGAGAGAGAGAGAGAGGAAAAACAAGATGGGTTGGGCAGTTGGTGAAGCCAAATCAGGAAACAGGTGCCCAGTTCTACAGTACCATCTCCTCCCTCCCTCCTTCCCTCATTGTCTCCCCACCTGGGGACTCACGGATGCAGGCAGACACCAACAGGACAACAAGCAGGATCCCCATCATGATGGGGATCACCACTAGGGCTCTTATCCGAGGCTGGGGACCTGGAGAAATCAAGACTTCAATGATGGCTCCCCATCAGCAGCAGCCCCTGCCCCCATGCCCAAAGCTGCTGCACCTGGCTATACTCTAAAATCCTTCCATGCCTGAACTTATCTAAAATCAGGGGATTCAAACAGGTGGCCCTGGCAAAAATGAGGCCAGATGTGTTTAGTGTAACCAGCACATTAAAAAATAATTCTTGAAATATTTGTCAACTTTTTAAAGTTAGGGGATTGCATATTTAATACCAAGATATCTGGTTTCTCTAAGAAGTTTTGAAAGATCCAGAGACAGTGGGCCGGTAGCCCCACCTGGCACCCCTCGCCAGAACTGAGGAGTGGCAGCTGTCTCCACCAGCTCACCGCATGCCCCATCCCTCCCTACTCTGTGCCTAATGCTGAGGTCCATCAGCATTTGTTACAGAGGAATGGGGGGGAAAGTAAAGTGTTTCTTAGGCCTAAGACTCTGTCCTAAATGGAAATATGAAGGAAAGACCAGGGACTAGGGGAAGGCAAGTGAAGCATTCATCTTGGGACAAAATCTAAGGGGACAACAAAAAAACTCAGTAATCAATATAGTAATATTGATAATATTTTAATGTCATGTTTTGAAAAATCATATCAACAAACTATGGCCCACATGTCGGCTGCCTTTTCTTTCTTTTTTTTTAAAGATTTTATTTATTTATTCATAGAGACACAGAGAGAGAGAGGCAGAGACATAGGCAGAGGGAGAAGCAGGCTCCATGCGGGGAACCCGATATGGGACTCGATCCCGGGTCTCCAGGATCACACCCTGGGCTGCAGGTGGTGCTAAACTGCTGTGCCACCGGGGCTGCCCTCGGCTGCCTTTTCTAAGAGTTATATATTTATTTGAGAGGGAGAGATAGAGAGAGAGATAGCACGAGTGGGGGAGGGGCAGAGGGAGAGGGAGAGAATCTCAAGCAGACTCCCCACTGAGTGGGGAGCCCCACACAGGCTCAATCTCATGACCCTGAGATCATGACCTGAGCCAAAATTGAGATCATAGCCTGAGCCGAAATCAGGAGTTGGACGTTTAACTGATTGAACCACCCAGGCATCCTTGACTGCCTGTTTTTTTAAGTAAAGTTTTATTGGAACCAGGGCTGGGATTAAGCTGAGGCAAGTGAGGTGGGGCTGGATCAAGGGTTTGTTTGTTTGTTTGTTTTGTAAATTTTGATATTTTGTTCATTATGGACTTTTTTTTACATTAGCTTTGATTTTTTAAAAACATGTATTAAATGTTATTTATCTTGATGACTGCATTTTCCTGGCACCTCCTTAAATACTGGGTCCAAGGCAAGTGTCTCACTCACCTCACTCCAGCCCCAGCCCTGCCAAGGGGAAAAAAACAGAGTGTCTCTGTCTTAGCTGTGACTTTTCAACTCATTAACATGACCTGCCCGTCCTTGAGTCTGTGATTGTGCTGTAGGTCAACCTCCTCATTGTAAAATCAAAACCGAGGCCCCGAGAGGAACAATGTCACACCACATTGGTGCTTGAGATGCATGGTGGCAGCAGATCATTGACAGAACACGTCCAAAGTACAAGAGGCATGCCAGGCACTTATCCCAAGCTGCTAAGGGAGCTGCTGTTATCATCTCATTTCACAGATGAAGAAACTGAGGCTCAGAGTAAGGAGGTGACTGGCCCAGGCAAAGCTGGGATACCTCAACCCCAAAAAGCTGCCTCCTCCTCTCATGTCACCTGCTCTCCGTCTTTCACCACCAGTGTTCCCTTTCAGTTCCCTGCCTCCCGGGCCTGCTGCCAGGGCCCATTCCCCAAGACTCACCACAGATAACATCAGTCTTGTTAGTTCCCGCCTGAACCTTCACCAGGCCTTTGGTTTCACAGCTGTGCACAGACAGATGTGCGCACACACACACATGAGGAACAGAAAGAAAGAGAAATTAAATTTCCCCAACCACAAGATTTCCAACCCGAGGGAGACCGTCAAAACCAACAAGTTCAGGTTCACTGAGCATGGATGGTATGCAACCTCCTATGCTGATTATTATGGGAATGACACAGACTCTGTTCGCATGGAATTCATGAGTGCAGAGAAAAAACATCTTAAAGGAGGAATAATCAGTTGGAGAGTCTCTAATGAGTGCCATGCTTTGTCACATAGGCTAAAGTGAACTGGGACTCATTCAAAGAAGGGGAGACAAAGCCCACAATAGCTGGAATAGAGGTGTAATGAGTTCAGTCCTAAGGCAGGGCTTCTCAGTCTCAGCCCTACTGACATTTGGGGCCACATCTCTCTCTATTGCAGGGCTATCCTGTGCTCTCGTAGGATGCTTAGCAACATGACTGGCCTCTACCCTCAAGATGCCAGTAGCAGCCCCTCCCCAGTTGTGACAACCAAAATATCTCCATATATTGCCAGATGTGCCCCGGAAAGAAGAATCGCTCCATTGAGAACCTGTGGGTTAAGGGTTGTCCAGAAAGCCTGCCCTAGTGGAAGCAAGATCTGAGTGGCCCTGAAGGATGTAAATTTAGACCAGCAGCACATTCTGGCTAAAGCAAGACAACGTGATTTGAAGGATTCGGTGATGGGGGGTGGGGAACATGCCAGATGAGGTTAGGGAACTACGCAAAATTGGGCTTTAGAACTAGAGCACTGGTAATCAGCCATGAAGGTTTCAACCCGATTCAACTGGTAAGTGGCATCAGCATCCAACCAGATGACTACCCAGTGACAGCACTCAGGGGGCCAGAGAGCTCACAGGAGAAATTATGGAAAAGTGGACAGCCAGGAGGCCCTTGCAGGCATCTCGATATGGGATGATCAAGACATGGTCCCAGGAGAAGTAGATAGAAGAGAACATCACCAAGAAATTTACTTCTAAAGTGGGAAAAAAGCTGAAAAGCTTCAAAGAAAGCACATACATACCAGTGCTTAGGCATCTAACAGACATTCCTATGTGTCTTTTCTTCATGCCTTGTGAGATGAAAGTCATTCGCATTTTCCAAATGAGGGCACCAAGGCCCAGAGGGTCACACACTTATTGTAGAGTCACGTCCTTTCTAAGCTGTTCTGAGGCTGGAACCCAGAGCTCTGATTCTACTAACCAAGATGCCCCCGGGTTATCATTCAACATTTATCAGTAAAGATTTATTGAGCACCCACTGTGCATTGGGCATTGTTCTGGGCATAAGGAATGCATCATTGGAAGGAAAAAAAAAGCCAACTCTCTACACTAAAGGAATTTGCAGTCTACTGGAGCAAGGCAGAAGGAAACAAATAATAAAGTATATATGGAATACTAGTATTTGTGTGGAAAATACATGTGTCTGCATGTGTATGTGTGTTTATTTGTTTGTACATAGAATCTCTGGAAGGACACACAAGGAACAGTAGCTGCCTCCAGGGAGGACCGAGTGGCTGAGGAACAGAGTGAAAGGAGACTTATCACCATAGGCCCTTTTGTGCCTTGTATCCCATGAGCCTGTCTTACCCATTTTTTAAGAATTAAGTGTAAACAGTTAATTAGGCATGTGTTTAAGGGTATTCCAGACAGGAGAGTTTGATGCAAGAGAACAGACAGTGTTGAGGGGATTACAAAGTAGCATGCGGAAAGCAGTCAGGAAGTGGAGCTGGAAGGTTGGGGCCCGTGCAAAGGAGTCTGGGTTTCGTCCTCAAGGCACAGAGAGCCATGAAGCATTTTAAATAGGGAGTGCCGTGATCCAAAATACACTGTAGAAAACTCACTTTGGCAAGAGGGTACAGAGAGAGAGCAGAGCCAGGGAGGCCGGTGAGGAGGTGAAAGCACATCCAGACCACAGTGATGACCGTGAAGATAATGAGATGGGATCCCAAAACATCTGGAAGACTAGATAGACAAGATCTGGTGACTGCTTTGGGAGGGACCATGGGACAAGTGCCCAGACCCATGGGACTGTCTTCCCACAGGGTGAGAGGGGTGGGCAAGTGAGCCCATTTGGTGCCTGTGGATCACCTGCATGGAGGTGGACCCTCGGTGGTGGCATGTGATTGTCTGGGACCTGGGACACAGATCGAGATGTTATTTGGGAACCATGGATACAGACGAGATGCTCAGAGGAGGTGGGCAAAGTGATTGGAGAGTAGAGCCTAGAACAAAGGCCAAGGAAACCAGGTTGGAGAAGCAGAGGAGGGGTAGAAGGAAAGCAAGATAGGTGCCGTGGTGCCCCCAAGAAGGGAGTTTCATGAAGATTGAGAGATCAGCAGCATCTGTTACCACCAGAGACACACCAGGCCAAAAAAAAAAAAAAAAAGCTGAAAAATGGCCTTTTCGTCAGCCACGGGGATACTTTAGAAGTTCTATGAGTGCACAAGCGTGTGGACATGGGGAGCAGGGCCTAAAGGACAGGTGGCCAGATAGAATGGAAGTAGTCTCACATCCCTCTTATGGCAAGAAACACAAGGAATGAATATTTGTACCTTGTCCAAGGGTGACACTTTTCCAAAGCAGAAGACACATTGGAGAAGAAGCCGATGGGGCAGGGATCGCAGATGGTATCAGAAACCCCTGTAGCTGGAAGGGAGGAGGTGGCATTCGTCATCACAGTGGACCACCTGTCCGGCTCTCAGGGGAACTAGTGGATAGGCAGGGCAGGAAGAACTGCCTATGTCACTGGCTGTCCCCCAGCACACAACTTCCCTGACCACTGCAGTCTCTAGGAAGCCTCCTCCCACTGCCCTCCCAAGGCAGATACCCAGGGCTGGAGGCAGGATGAGAAAGGTTCCATTTCCTGCTCACCAAGCAGATATACCAATGCAGGTGGGTCCCTCCGCCTCCAAGGCTGAGTGCCCACGGCCCACCCCCTCACCTGGAGCCTCAGCTCCTTTCTCCTGCCTGAGGAGCTGATTCCCAGACAGGCCACATACCGATCTGTTTGACTCCCAGGCCAGGGGGGCACAGGCTGTGCATGGTGCAGCTCTCACAGGCAGCGTTGGTACAATGCAGACCTTCATCACATGTACAAGTGGTGTCTGTTTCTGACGTGCCCTCCTTCTCGACATGGAGCCCTAGGTCTGAGTAGAGATGGCAAGAAGGATGAGGACCCCTTACCAGTCATCCTCGGGGGATCTGCTCCTCACACATCCTGCTTTTATTTCCTTAGACCCTCTTCCAAGTATGGGTGGGAATCAAACTGTTTAACAACCAATACAACACAGACTGCAGCCAATCAGAATCGACCTTGACTAGAAAAAAAAAGCTAAGGCTGCATTGTCAGGAATGAGCTAGACTATCAGCCTAGCTCCCGCTCACCCCTTCCCCAGCAGCCCACGCACTGGGGTCGCAGTATTTGTGCTGGTGACAGTGTCTCTCTGCGTTCCAAGTGTCTAGAAATTCGCCTGTTTGGCAACGAGTGCATTCCGTGTCAATGGTATGTAGGCAGTCATTCACCAGTTTCTCTCCTGCAAAACATTGGGAAATGAGATGGCTCCCGCCAGCTCAATGAGTCAGACACTTACCAAAAACTGAACAGACTGGGGTTTTAGGGCGAAGGGGTTCAAATATGACTTTCTCGGACCCTTCCAGACTCCATAGTCTGTTGGGGTTCATGGGAGAGATTGGAACCCTGGTCCTGGGTAGGCAGAGAGGGAACCCAGAACATTCTGACAGCAGGGCAGGGATGGGAAGACTCGCAGGAGTCATTTAAGACTCGAGTTGACAGCAGACACTTGGAGTCTGCCTCTGCCAGCAAACTAAGAAGGGTCGCATTCTGGGGCCAAGGGTTTAGCAGCTCACCTGGTGGGCACATATTACAGCACTGACTGTCTACTAGGTATTGCTTTTCTCTGCATGCAGTGCGTGGTTCTGGGTAGACCTAAAAACAGAATTGGGTGATTTGAGGGGATCTTGAAATCTCTGCTGCAGCCTCTAAGGCAGGAAATCAGCCAGGACAGAGGTTAGAACTGAAGTGAAGTCCAAAGCAGAAAAAATGGAGCCTGCATATTACTTTGTGTGTTTGTTTTTAACTAAACTGCCAACTGATGTGATTATAAAAGCACCCAGAGGATCCATCTGGCATTTTACAAAGCGATTGCGCTGGAACATCACAATATTCTCTGAACTAAACAGATCTGCCTTTTGGCTTGACTCCTGAGTCTTTCCTCCTCCCAAAGACCCAGAAGCACATGAAGGCTCCCATACCTCCCCTGGAGTCCTGAGGCTGTCTGGCTTCAGCTAGTCCTAGTTCTGGCTGGGGCTATATTTAGTATTTGGCCGCTTCCTTCTATTCTTTTGCTCCCCACCCCTTTCCCCTCTCCAAACCCTCGTCATCTGATCATCCAATGCCTCCCTGACGAAATGTCAGGACTGTGAAGCTGGCAAGATAAAACCCATTGCTTTTGCTTTACAAATGGTAAGCTGAAGGTCCAGGGAGGCTGAGGCACTTGCCCACAGCCACACAGGAATAGAATCCGATGAGAACTCCGGTCTCAATACTCCCCCATCTCCATCAACTTAGGTCTTGACTGTACTATTTTTATTCCGTCCAGTTATCAGCCATGCTATTAATTACTTCTCATTAATTTAAGGACATTGATTTTAAATGTAAACCTTATATCATTGCCATGAGAGAAGAGCCAGTATCACTTCTCATAAATAAAAGGTAACCCTAAAAATAAATTCAACTTCAGAAGCACAGCAATGTTATTAAAACCCAGCTGGTTGCTCTGCTTGCTGACAGGCCTCTTCTCCAAGCTTGCTCTTGGTTTTTGTTTAGAAAGGAGGATTAGCAAGTGCTGGAGAGGTTTTAACTCTATTCTAGCTCCAGAGACTTCCTCCTTGAAAAAAATGAGAAGGATTTTAATAAAAGTATAAAGTGAATTTTTGTTGTTTAGTTCTATATCCACGTGTTCCCTAAAATCATGCCACACTTTGGGGACAGCCAGTGAAAAAGAACATAGGCTTGAAAGTCAAAGCGCTTAAGGCTCCGATCTTGCCTTTGTAACACTTACTAGTTATTTTGTTTCTCATAGCCTCAGTTTCCATATCTCTCAAATGGGAGTATTGACCACTCCATGGATAAGGTTGTGAAAATAGGAATGAATACATGTATGCAGCCTAGCACAGAAGCTAGCCCATAGTAGAGGCTCATTAAATAGTAATTTCAATTACCATAAATATGTAGCAAATATCTGCTGGGATGACTAACACTCTGGATTCTGCCTAATTGGTGGCTCTCATTCAGCCTGGGTGAGAAAACTACTTAGAATCACCTTACTCCAAATGGGGAGGGAAATATAAAGGTCTGTTGCTTCTTCCTGCAACCCTATGGACTTTCCCACCAGACTCCCAGTGCAACAGGAGTCCTCTGTGCCATTTTAAAACCCATGAGAAATACAGCTCCTTCTCTGAAGGTTAGTCAACCCTCAGTTCCTGCTCCATAGCTCCAGTCTTTCTGACACAAAACATCTCAGGACCAAGGCTCCCAGAGGCAGGCTCTGGAATCAGGCAGAGGTAGACTTATATCCAGGTTCCACCTAACTATGAGAACTTTGGCAAGTTATTTCCTCTCTCTGAGCCTCAGTTTGCTTATCTGTATAATGGAGGAGTTGAAAAAATCAGACCAAGAATGCATGCATGTAAAGCGTTTTGCTGAGAGCCTGACACACGGGAAGCTCTCAAAAGTAGCCCTTGCCATTGTTGTCACCACCCAGTCTACCTGGAGCCAAAGTTGGCAGTATGCTCATGAGAAGCCCAGATCACCCTTCACCTTACCTCCCCTGGCTCTTCCTCCAATCAATCCCTCCTACAAGACTCCTCCTCCTCCTCCTCTCTCCAGCTCCACCTTCTTCCTGCCTCCTTTTTCCCTAAGTAAGAACCATGGCTTAGAGTGAAAATGAAAGCTCTGGGAGCAAAGCAGCTTCCCCACTGACTCTTTTCCCTTGCTGCTGACTCCCCTCCCCAACCCCTCCAAGGGTCTTTCCTACTCAGCCTTCAGTGCCAGAAACTACAGCCCTTAAAACCAGTGGGGGGGGGGGCAGAGGGGCTGGGATGAGAGGGGCAGGTACTTGGGGAATTCCCAGCCTCCAGAATGAGGAACTACAAAAATACACTTAAACAAAAAGTGAGTCAAGTGTGGGCTTCTGAAAATCCCGGAGACATGCTTGGTTGGGCATAACTGAGACTTTCTGGTACCTGGAGAAACCCCTGCTGGTCTCCTAACCCTTTCTTGGGTCCCACTAACTCTTCACCACCACCACCCCCAGGGGTCCTCTATGTCATCTTAAATTCAATGAGGCAGCGACACAGCCTTGGGTATTCCTCCTAGGTTGGATCACCCAGGATTGTGGGGTAGGGGTGGGAGAGTTCAAAGTTCCTTGCCTTCTTAAAGAAGCACCCACGCTTGTTCCCACAAGATGCTCTGGAAGAAGGCAGCCCCAGATGGCCAGACTATGATAACCACTCACAAGAGGCTAGCATCTGTCCACAACGAAAAGGAACAGGAAACCGGCCAGACCCGCCTCTTCCCTTGTCCGGCCTCCCTTCTCGCCTCTGAAACCCCTCACCAGTCTTCCAGGCGGCCAGCCTCTGAGGCAAACCCAGACTTCAGTCTTTTGACCAAATAAAGGCTTGAGGCTCCCCAAATCCCAACCCCATCCACGCCGGAGATGCACATTTCTTGCAGTGCCCCCAGTTCGCGCCCTCTGTAGGCTACCTGGGACCCCAACCTGGAAGGAGACAGAAGCAGCCTACCTGGTCCAGTCGGGACCCGAGGTACCTTACCCAACTTCTACCCACGCTTCTGTCCCCCCAAAATCAACTGGGAAGGTCCCATCCCGAAATGTTGCTTCTCTTCCCATTTACCCCTCTCAAGTCCCCGAATCCCCTTTCAGGTCGGAGCAGAAGCTCAACTCACGGTGGTCAACAAGGAGCCCCAGAAGAGACAGCGCAGAGGCAGGAGAACCATGGCGAGGTGAATAGCAGGCGGCTGAGTAGGGGCGCGGGGACGTCTCTAGTAACTCCCCAGCCCCAGCCCCCGCCCGCCCCGCCCAGGAGATGGGCGGGGTCTTCGGGGACCAACCGAGGCCGGCTTCGTTGGGCAGGGCGGAGCTCCTGGAGACCCTTAGCGCCGGGAGTTCCCCTGAACATTCCCGGGAGTCTAACTGTCCCGGGAGTTTAGGGACGCGCTTTAGGCGCAGGGGAGGGCGCGTGGGCCCAGGAAGAGCACTTCCTCCTCGCCCCTGGGGCTCAGAGGCCACGCTGAAGAGGACAGAGAGCTAGCAGTCTTCCCGGAAGGCTAAGGGATAGACTAGAGATCCCCACGTGCTGGGAAGATGCCCCAGGGACCACCCCCACGGTTCTTCCCCGCAGCCTCCGGGAATTCCGGCAGAACCGAAAGTGTCCCCACCGCGGATGGAGAGGCCTGAGGAAGTTCCCTCCATCCCTGCAAACGGGAAGGCCACCTCTGGGGCTCGGGTGACATTTCAAGGAAAAGAGTTAGTTTCCCAGCTTAAAATTTCGCTCTTTCAAAGGAAATTCCCTCAAGGGGGCACCGCGTCCCAGCCTCCGCATCCATCCATCCATCCATCCATGCATCTATGCATCCCCATCAGAGTCTATTCCATCCCATTCCCGACCGGCGCCTGGAGAGAGGCCCTTAGAGTAGTAGTACATCAACCTTTCGTGGGATCGTAGGACCCACGAGAATCTCAGGGGACTCAGGACCCTCTCATTCTGCAGCAATCCCCACACCCCTGTGCCTACATTTCCTGGGTTCTGGCTTCTAAGCGGTTCTTCAACCAGTGTTAGCACTCTATTCAGTGGCACCAAACCCCTGAATTCTATTCTAGGCTCTTCCTCTGATGGATTGAGTTTTGTTGAGCCTCAGTTGCCCCCGATGGAACCTAAGGAACTTGAACTAGACAGGTGTTGGGGTGATGATGACCTTCCAAGTTCTGCATTTCTGGACCAGGCCAAAAGGCCAGCTGCATAGATCAGGGAGGATGGGAGAGGAACGGGCTGCTAACCCCACCCTCCTGGTTCAGCCACAAAGGGCATCCTCCTTTCCAACACATCTGCTACTCATTCAGAGGCTCATCATCTCTCACCTAGGCTGTCCCATTGGTCTCACTCATTCACTAGGCCCCTGTTGAGGCCCTACCAAGAGCCAGGCAACTCTCAACTAACCCTCCCCCACTCCTCCCCCCCTCTCATTGTTCGTCCTGGTCAGTTCTCTTTGCAAACGCCAGATCTGATCTGATGAGGACACTTCCCTGCTGAAAAACAGCTTTGGGTTCCCCCATCCTCAGGATGGTCCAGACTCTTTCTCAGGGCACAGCAAGCCCTCCTCCACTCTATCCCCACCTGTCTCTCCAAGTTCACTCCCCGCCATGTCTTCCCACCACTGGCTTCCTCTATACTCTCCTCCCCATTTTCAAACAATCTTTTCTCCTTTTTTTTCTTAAAGATTTATTTATTTATTCATTCAGAGAGAGGGAAGAGAGAGGCAGAGACACAGGCAGAGGGAGAAGCAGGCTCCGTGCAGGAAGCCTGATGCAGGACTCGATCCTGGGTCTCCAGGATCACACCCCGGGCTGCAGGTGGTGCTAAACCGCTGCGCCACCGGGGCTGCCCTCCTTTTTTTTTCTTTAAGATTTTATTTATTTTTTCATGAAAGACCCAGAGAGAGAGGCAGAGATGTAGGTAGAGAGAGAAGCAGGCTCCTTGCGGAGAGCCTGATGTGGGATTCGATCTCAGGACTCCAGGATCATGACCTGAATCAAAGACAGACACTCAACCACTGAGCCACTCAGGTGCCCCAAACAATCTTTCCTTCTTACTGTGTCTTGCTGTTTCCTTCTTTCCCTCTCCTTCCTGGAACCAGCTTAAATTTTGCTTCCTCTTCAGTTAAGCTTCCTGTTAACTCCCGGAAATACAGATAGTCGCTCCACCTTAGCCCCTCCCCTGTGTTCCTGCAGCATTGTTATGCTGGACTAGAACTCCATCTGTCTGGCCTCATTGGACTGTGAGCATCTTGAGGACAGGACTGAATACATCCCAGTTCTGGGCATCTAACAGGACACCAATACACATTTCCTGAATGAATAAAAGAGTAAGCGGGTTCAGTAACTTCTCATTCCCAGCACAACCTCCATCAGGAAGGATGTGGGGAGAGGAAGTGCAAAGCTGGTTGGTAGTCACGACGCACCTCAAGCTGATGGTCAGATGCCAATAAGCCAGGAACACTTGAAATCAGAGTCCAGAGCACTTCACAAAAGCCACCCAATCATGCTTGGAATGTAGAGAACATTAAACTATCTTTTCCCTTTTAACTGATTTCAAAAAGCAAGCACAGTTTTAATTCCTTTGGGAGGGGGGAGGGCGTTACTATAATAACTTCAGCCATTACTTATTCTTTATTTGCTTGATTCCAAAATTGGGCCCTTCACAAAACTGCCTTGGGAAGCCAGTACACAGAATTAAAACATTAATTATATTATATAAAACGTATCATAGTCGCAATTAAAGCAGCTTAAATTAATGTGTGAAAGAATAAATAGTAGCCTTCGGGTTGCCCCATGGGGCGAAGACCAGATAAGATAAAGGAAGATATTTTAGTATACGCATATCCAAAGAAGACATGTGCTGGCGGCGACAGGCCAAAAGAAGCCATAGAATTTTCCTGGGCTGAGCAGAGTATTCTGGAAGAGGAAAGAGAAAAGATGATTTATGGGGAGAGTGGGCTCAATGACAGGAATAGGGCAAAGGACATTCCAAAGAGTGGAGATCTAGGATTTTGGAATAATAGGAAATGGCCTTTTCAGCAGTGTGGGGGTCACAGGGCCACTTGGATAGCTAAGAAACAGGCCTGGAGGTCAAGTCCATAGCACAGCCAGAATCTGGTGAGCAGATGATTCTAATATGCAAACTCCATTGTGTTGCTGTTAGGTCTGAAGCAACTCCACAGAGCCCTTGCTCCTTAAGCTCATGGGGTCTTAAGGCCATAGGCTCACTGAGCTGCATCTCTAACTGTCCTCCTGCCTTCACCTTTCTGCTCCAGACTGTGCTATCACCTCTGAAAGAAAGCCCTTCTCTGCTCTGCTTTCTTCAGATCAACCCCATCTTATCTTTCAAGGCTCAGCTCAGGTGCCCCTTCTCTGGAAACCCCGCTGCAACAGCTAGCTACCCTGGAATGTGCACACATACCTCCCCATACCCTCTCAGAATCCTGCAGCTGCTTGCCTAAGCAAGACTCCAGCCCTACCACACTGTATTTCAATTATTCTGTTTACTTATGGAACCAGTTTACTGAGGCAACGCAACTCGATGGGGCATAATAATGAAGCTTTCCCCCCTAATCTCTACCTTCAGCATGCTGTGTTGAATTTCTCTGTTCCATCCCTTAATGACATCTTGGGCAGATTGTATTACTTTTGGATCACTTTCTGTTTTTAAACCTCCATCCTTGAAAGCTTTATTCTCAAACTCAATTTAAATCTCATTTTGTCTTCTCCCTTATTCATCCAAGGGTTGACTTGAGCCAGGATCCTGCCTTTTTGAATAAACGGTGGGGGAGGGGAGCATAGCCTGGTTAGGAAACATGCCCCTGTACCCTCCCTCTTATTGAAATTGGGAGGAAGGAGTGAGAATAGCTCTGCAATAGCCCCCTCTCTGTTGGTTGAACCTGCTTTCCTGACTAACCTGGAGTGGCAAGTGTTCATAAATGGTTTCTCATGCACCTCATGAGTATATTTCTTGTGGGTTTCTCTACTGCACAGTTTTCTGACGGTGGCCATCCAGTTCAGGCCTGAGCTTCCCTACCCTGCCCTACCACCTCGGCTTCTGCCTCTGGTGGGACCCTGTTGCTCAGCAATCAGCCTGGTTGGGTGGAATGCCAAAGAGCTTAGCTAACTACTGCAGGGTCTCCTTGACTCAGAGAAGCTCACACATACTGGCCAGCTACTCCACAGTGACTCCTCTCTCCACGTCTCTTTTCCCTTACACAGACAGGCATGGGGGAACATCAGCAAGTCTACTGCCAAGTAGACCCCCATTGGGGAACAATATCCCAGCATCCTCTTCTTGTCATCACCCTTCAATCTCCAGAAAAGACTACCAACTATAGAGGGGAGAGAAGGGAATTATCTTTCACCATAAACACTATACTCCTCAATAAAACCAAAGAACTCCTCCCTCTCCAGTATTATAATTGATCAAGGAGGAGGAAAGTGAGCTTTTAGCAAGGAAGTAGAGGGCAGTTCTGCCCTCTTCAGTAAACCTTGCAGGGAGAGCATCTGGCTCCATTTAGAATGCAGGGTACACAGGGCCTATTTGCTTTGGGCTGTGGGACATAGTACCAATTCCTAAGTAATAAGGAGTTCCCACTCAGTAATCCTTATGTTGGGCCATCATTCATACCTAACTTGATTCTTGGGGAGGAAGATCTTAGTAGCCTAATGTCCACACAGAACCCAGGCACATGCTGAAGGCCAAGCAAGTTGTTGAATGAATGTGGGATTATAAAGTAATGAGACTGCAAGGGATCCATCAGGATCTACTTGCTCATTTTCTTTTTTTTTTAAAGTTTTTTTAAATTTATTTATTTATGATAGTCACACACACACACACAGAGAGAGAGAGAGAGAGAGAGAGAGAGAGAGAGGCAGAGACACAGGCAGAGGGAGAAGCAGGCTCCATGCACCGGGAGCCCGACGTGGGATTCAATCCCGGGTCTCCAGGATCGCGCCCTGGGCCAAAGGCAGGCGCCAAACCGCTGCGCCACCCAGGGATCCCCTACTTGCTCATTTTCATACTGGGGAGTTCCTCATCTCCACCAGATGACCAGTCTCTCTAGCTAAAAATCCCAGGCCCAACTGCAAAATTTCTTCTTTCAGCTCAGCATAGTCGGGGTGGGATTTATCAAAGAAAACTAAGAAGTTTAGAAAAGAACCCAACCATAAATTAAAACCCAAGAGCCAGCAAAATAGATGGGTGAGT